TTTACTTACCTCAAAGCCTGTTAAAAGGCTAGTACAAGCTTCAGTCAGTCCGCTCTTAGCGGACTGAACCTTCTGGACCACCGCACTCATAATAGTGCGGTGCCCCTCGTCGATGGAGGCGCCTTGGAGCGCCTCCAACATATTGTCCGGCGCCTCCGGTTGGACGGGGGCCATCGGCACGGTGGACTTACTCCTCTTGGAAGGAGGTCCCCCGCTGGACTCTGGAACCTTTGAAGGTTCCGGAGCGGTGTCCGGCCTAGAGCCAGACTTGGAGCCCTGGGGGGTTTCATCCCCTTTACTCCTGGAGTACGGGAGGTCGCCTTGCGGCGCCTCCAGGACCACCTCCTCCCGGCTTGGAACCTGTTTGGACAACACTTCGGTGTCGTCCGTAGGGAGGGGGTCGGAAGCCGTCGGAAGCGAGTTCACATCCGCGAGTCCAGTGAGCTGCTCGACGACGCGTCGAGCCGGTCTTTGGGTGGGCTGCATAAACATATTCGACGTAAGGGAAAGCTGTGCAATAAACGAATACTATGAATTACTCTCGTATCCGGATACTTACGATTTTGCTAGGGGCTTGGCCCTGTGCTGCCGCTCCTCTCCGCCGTCGTCGGCGTCGGTGGAGTATTCCGGAGGAAGGGTTTTCTCCTTCTTGGACCCTCCGGCCTCCCCAGAGAGGGCGGCCTTCCTTTTCTTCTCTCCTCCCGCTGGAGGGGGAGAGGTTTCTTCTTCTTCCTCCTCGTCTTCACGGGAGGAATGCGCCTCGGAACCATCGGATGATGGGTCCGACACCTCCTGGCGCCGGGCACTCTTTTGAGTCCCCGCTGCCTTTTTTGTGGCTTTCTTCTCCGGCACCACATAGGGTGCCGGAACCAGCAGCTTCGCCAAGCGAGCGTCCGCTGGGCCTTCGGGCAAAGGAGCCGGACAGTTGATCTGTCCGGATGTCACCTGCCAATCCTGTCAAAGGTAAGGGAGCTTAGATCCCGCATGGAGTCAAACTATGAAAAACTGATACCCTGTAAAAGGAAAAAAAAACAGCTTACCGCGAGAGCATGACGCTGCGCACTGAATCCGCGATCCTCAGTAGCGGATGCGGGAGCCTCGACGCCCTTGAAAAGCACCTTCCAGGCATCTTCGTACATCGTGTCGAAGAGCCTGCTTAGAGTTTGGTGCCGCGCCGGGTCGAACTCTCACAGGTTGAAAGCCCGTTGTTGACACGGGAGGATCAAGCGGATGAGCATAACCTGGACTACGTTGACAAGTTTGAGCTTCTTGTCCACCAAGGTTTGGACGCATGTTTGGAGTCCGGTCAGCTCTCCCTTCTTGCCCCACGACAGGCCCGCCTCCTTCCAGGAGGTGAGCCGCGTAGGGGGTCCGGATCGAAACACAGGGGGTGCGACCCATTCGGCGTCACGCGGCTCGGTGATGTAAAACCACCCCGATTGCCACCCCTTCAGGGTCTCCACAAACGAGCCCTCGAGCCATAGGACGTTGGCCATCTTGCCCACCATGGCGCCTCCGCACTCCGCCTGGTTGCCGCGCACAACCTTCGGCTTGACGTTGAAAGTCTTGATCCATAGGCCGAAATGAGGGCGGATGCGGAGGAAGGCCTCGCACACGACGATAAACGCCGAGATATTGAGGACGAAGTTCGGGGCCAGATCGTGGAAATCCAGGCCGTAGTAGAACATGAGCCCCGGGACAAATGGGTGGAGAGGGAAGCCCAGTCCGCGGAGGAAATGGGGAAGAAACACCATCCTCTCATGGGGCCTAGGGGTGGGGATGAGCTGCCCCTTTTCGGGAAGCCGGTACACGATGTCATTAGACAGGTATCCGGCCTTCCTCAGCTTTTTGATGTGTGCCTCCGTGACAGAGGAGACCATCCACTTGCCTCCCGCTCCGGACATGGCTGGAGGAGGTTGAGGTGGGGAGTGCGGACTTGGGCGCTGGAGCTCGAGTGCGCAAGAATGGATAGGCGAAGGAGGAAGAAGGCGTAGGTGAAAGGGTGGATCCTTATCCCCTTATATGGGTGGACGCAACAACATGTCCCCACCAGCCTGGTAAAACTCACTTATCTCCAAGCGTTGTAATCAATGGCGTGGTTGGGTTACTCATGCCCGTATTGATGAGAATCCCGTAATAAAGGGATACGATCTCTGCTTTAACAAGACATGCCAAGGAAACCGCCTTGCATGACGCGCTGAGGTGGGATAATGAAACGACTCGGATAAAAGCTTGGCCGTGGTGTATCACGCTATGGAATATGTCAGCAGATTAGATTTGTGTAAATATTATTCTCTCTATGGCAATATGTGGAAACTTATTTTGCAGAGTCGGACACTATCTTTGTGTTCAAAATCTTCTATGAAGTACTTGAGGGGGAACCCGCCTTGCAATGCCGAAGACAATCTGCGCGCCGGACTCATCGTCATTGAAGCCTGGTTCAGGGGCTACTGAGGGAGTCCTCAATTAGGGGGTGTCCGGATGGCCAGACTATACCTTCAGCCGGACTCCTGGACTGTGAAGATACAAGATTGAAGACTCCGTCCCGTGTCCGGAAGGGACTTTCCTTGGCGCGGAAGGCAAGCTTGGCGATACGGATATGAAGATCTCCTACCATTGTAACCGACTTTGTGTAACCCTAACCCTCTCCGGTGTCTATATAAACCGGGGGGTTTTAGTCCGTAGGACAACATACACATCAACAATCATACCATAGGCTAGCTTCTAGGGTTTAGCCTCTCCGATCTCGTGGTAGATCTACTCCTGTACTACCCATATCATCAATATTAATCAAGCGGGACATAGGGTTTTACCTCCATCGAGAGGGCCCGAACCTGGGTAAAACTTCGTGTCCCTTGCCTCCTGTTACCATCCGGCCTAGACGCGCAGTTTGGGATCCGCCGGTTTTGACACCGACACCCACCAACTCCTCTAACCGGCAAAGGCGTGGCAACAGTGCCCCACCTGCTCGCTGACCAAGGCCGGCGTGGCTACAGCGCGCCCATCGTCACTGCTGACGCTAGCAGACGCGACCTCGCGGTGCGCCACTGTAGTGGACTCGACCGCCCACTCTGTGATGATTGACAAGACAGAGAACAGTGCCTCCTAGCGCACAGTGCCCGTGCCCGGAGAACCCGGCGAGCCCTGGTACCCAACGGGTCCCAGCACCGGCTTCCCTAAAGATGACAACCCGTCCCCACAGCCTTGTAACATTACCATTATGTCCCTGGGGGGTTGACCTATAAAACCCCCTAGGAGCTCTCATACGTGCGACCAGACCAGACCGAACCAAACCAGATCAGATCAGTAGAACACACACATACACAAGGAGAAGGAGCAGCCTAAGCCTTGGCTCACCTTCCTTCCTCCTCCAAACAGCTCTAGGAGCAACTCTGTACAGATACAAACTCGGCAGGACTAGGGGTATTATCTCTCCGGAGAGCCCCGAACCTGGGTATATCTTGCGTCCCTCGCTCGCTCATACCAACCTCGCCTCTAGAGCCCACCGGTGACCTCGAGCCTCCTCCTCTTTTTAGCCATCCTTTGGCATCTGCCATGCACCCACCACGACAACCAGATCTAGTTCAGGGCAAAGCTTCCATCGAAGTCGCCTGCTACGCCAAGATCACCCATCACCGTGCACCTTGCCACCCATAGGGCCAAGGTACACGGTCAACACCCTCCACCATGGCACTCGCTAGACAGCTAAGCCATGTAGCCCGTGTCGGGGTTAAATCCAGCGGATCTTGGGTAAGGGGTCCCGAGCTGATGATGTGCTTAATGGTAACAGGATGAACAAGGGCTTGACGAGCTGAACTCTTGTGACTTCTGTTTCTTGGCAAGCAGATTTTGGGACACAAGATGAAAAGGAAACATGACAATGCTTTCAAAGCTTGACGAGCTAAAGTCTTGTAATTTATGTTTCTTCTTTTTTTGGCACAGTTTGTTAGGGTTTGTTTTCTTCATTTATCATGATGCTGCATGAAAAATGACGGAGGAAAGCTATACTCCCCGAAGAGAAAAGCTACAATGGGACACCGTGATGCTGCATGCGGCCATGGTTTTTGCTAGAACTAGTTGGTGAGGACACTGGAACCTGTCGTGGTGCATCCCAGGAACGCAATGGCAATAGATGCTGCATCCGGTCATCTTTTTTGCTGTAGTTGACACGCGTGGATGCTCGAATGGGGCAGGAGAAAAGTTGTGAAACCTCAACGATCGTGCGACCTCCCGTGAGCTACGACGACGCCGACCGACGCCGAATGGCGACATGCTTCTAGCAGCGTGGCGAGGTTCTGGGACCCGTCGGCAAAAAAGCTGCAAGCAGTCATCAGAGTAGCTACGATAGTGGTGACCGCGAGCTGTCATTTTTGCTGGAACCGACGGGCCACGGGCAAAGTCCTTTTCCTAGAACTGGCTCGCACATTTGCTGGAACCAGAGACTGTAGATGCTGGAATCAGCGACGGTGAGCACAGGCTTGCCGGCGAGATGTTACAACCAGGGCATGAAAATGCTAGAACGAGAGAGAGTTTTTTGTTGGAACTAGTGCGAGTGCCTATTGCGAGCATCAGAGCGGCAGAAGCCATTGATACTGCATCTCTCCGGCGTGGCGTGGTGCTAGGGACCTGGGCGACAGGAGGTGCGATGATCTCGGGGGGGGGGAGGCACTGGCAAGCTACGCGAGGGGAAGGGTGTTGGGCAAGGCTGCGCAAGGTGTGGGAAGGAAGGAGCTGAGCAGCCGAATCAGCCGGCCTATGCAGCTTGCATCTGACAACTAGTGCATGGCCCACCAAAAATTGGACCGGCTGAACGGCACCTAGCACTGCCCTTTATTTATTCCATGGTTATAAACACTTGATTATAGTTCGGTTTTGCAAGAAGATATGTTAAATCTAATTATAATGGAAAAAAAATACATTTAACAAAAGAACTGATTTACAATACACAAATAAGCATGCGCGGCGCGTCAAGACGCCAAAAAAAGCACCACAATCGTCGGTCAATAAAAGAACAATAAGAGACCAGCCGCGACAATGGCCAGACCTAGCCGCACCACCGCAGACTGATCAATACCAGCCGCCGTGGCCGAGCTTAATACAGTCTCGTACCGGCACCGGAGTCGCTTCCCCGTCCCTCGGCACCGTTGTACTGTCTGCACTGCCTTCGACTTCACGTTGACTTGAACCTTCATACCGGCGATGCAATGCCCTGGCACGCTGCATATGAAGTACCGCGTCCCAATGGATGCGAGTGGGACGACATCGTTGCCGGTTAGGAACGTCACGATGGGGCTGGAGCTATTGCACGCGTCGTACCAGTCTTTCTCACCTCCACCAGATTGTGCATGGTGGTGGAGTACTGAAACTACAGCTCATCGCCGATGGTGAACCTGGTTCTCGAAGCCCACATGGTGTAGTTGGTCTGCAGGTCCCATGATCCGGCCGGCGCGCCCACCATGTGACTGGCGCCGAGCACCTTCCCGGGGATGGCCACGGCCACGGTGATCGGGATAAGAACTCTAGCCCCCATGATTAAATGTCGATCGACTAGCTAGCTAACTGAAAAGATCAGAGCTAGAAGTTAGCGCTAGAGAGAAATTTGATAGGATCCAAGGAAGTTGCAAAGAGAATTGGCTGCACGAAGGAATGTGTTGTAAGATCGTTGATGCCACTGTGTCGAAATATATAGGCGATGGATTGATTCAAGATAGGATCATCAGGTGTAAGCGCGTTGAGCAGGTGAGGTATGGTAGGTCTATGATGCACGAATATTAGTACTCCCAGATGAATTTAAAACATGTTGGTGCATGCATGCTTCGCTCACCCATTATACAATGATAATCTAATAATGATGACGATGGGATTCGTAGCCGAGAGTAGACTTGGTCTGGCGGCAAACCCTCAGGCTGCTAGCGATCCGGTGCACAAGCGTGCTAAACATTAATTATTAGAACACAATCTTTGATTAAAGTTATGAGCCTATTCGTGGGCGCGTGCATATTCCTGCCGCACGATAATTGATTTATTAAGATGTATGTCACTGTAAAAATTCAAAAATAAAACGTAATCTTCTTTTCTCAAGAGCACACAAGTTAAGTACCATAGCTTTAATAAAAATTAAGTATCATAGCTTTGTTGTATAGAAGGCGGGATAACAGATACAAGAAGGGCTGTCATAGGCGTTGGTCGACTGATTTGGTCAAGATCGGTCACCATGCACGCCGTTGTAATAAGCCATCAAGGACAGTTGATTTCACGAATCGTTCTCTCAAAACAGGCTTTCGGGCATAAACAAGCAAACCGATACAAAGTGACCCGATACAAGACATTGCAGAGAACATCATAGCTGGTCTAAAGAAAATCGGTAATACTAGCCAAGAACGCTAAAAGCGCACTAAGTGCACCTAAACGCTTCGAACTAGCAGTCAAGAAGAAACACATGAAACCGACCACCATGCAAGAGGAAGACCACCTTCACCGGCGACGCCCCAAGAGGGTAACGTCACAAAGCGTCGCCGCCGCCGCATCAGCCGAAGCTAAGAAAGGTTTCACCCTGAGAGTTGGACGGCAAGAAGAGGTCCAAGGCGACGCCCCAAGATGAATACAATACCGGCAGGCCTTGTCGCAGCCGGCGCCGGAGCGCAAAGCTTTCGCTCGACCACAGCTCCTACCACATCAAGGAAACCCTAATGGGGACCCCACCATGACGGAATGTCAGCACCAGATCCAGATCAGGGCAAAGCTTCATCGAAGTCGTCTGCTATGCCAAGATCACCCATCACCGTGCACCTCGCCACCCACATGGCCAAGGTACACCGTCAACACCCGCCACGATGTCGCTCGCCGGAGAGCTAAGCCATGTAGCCCGTGTTGGGGTTAAATCCAGCGGATCTCGGGTATGGGGTCATGAGCTAATGATTTTAGCTTGATGGTAACATGATGAACAAGGGCTTGGCGAGCTGAACTCTTGTAATTTATGTTTCTTGCCGAGCAGATTTGGGGACACAAGATGAAAACAAAATATGGCAACGCTTTCAAAGCTTGGCGAGCTGAAGTCTTGTAATTTCCGTTTCTGCTTTTTTTGGCTAAGTTAGTTAGGCTTTGTTTTCTTCATTTATCTTCTTTTTAGGCTCATCTCAAACTAGTGTATACATACACTGCCCAATAATATAAAATGTTGCAGTGGGTGTTTACCCCACTGGTTCGCCTTAAAAATCATGTTACTTAACTAGCCGAATTTAGCTTTGCATGAACTTCTGTTGTATATAATGGTGAAGGAAATATGCCCTAGAGGCAATAATAAAGTTGTTATTTATATTTCCTTATATCATGATAAATGTTTATTATTCATGCTAGAATTGTATTAACCGAAAACTTAGTACATGTGTGAATACATGGACAAATAGAGTATCCCTAGTATGCCTCTACTTAACTAGCTCGTTAATCAAAGATGGTTAAGTTTCCTAGCCATAGACATGTGTTGTCATTTGATGAACGGGATCACATCATTAGAGAATGATGTGATGGACAAGACCCATCTGTTAGCTTAGCATAATGATCGTTTAGTTTTTCTGCTATTGCTTTCTTCATAACTTATACATGTTCCTCTGACTATGAGATTATGCAACTCCCGAATACCGGAGGAACACCTTGTGTGCTATCAAACGTCACAACGTAACTGGGTGATTATAAAGATGCTCTACGGGTGTCTCCAATGGTGTTTGTTGAGTTGCCACAGATCGAGATTAGGATTTTTCACTCCGTGTATCGGAGAGGTATCTCTGGGCCCTCTCGGTAATGCACATCACTATGAGCCTTGCAAGCAATGTGTCTAATGAGTTAGCCACGGGATGATGCATTACGGAACGAGTAAAGAGACTTGCCGGTAACGAGATTGAACTAGGTTGATACCGACGATCGAATCTCGGGCAAGTAACATACCTTGACAAAGGGAACAACGTATGTTGTTATGCGGTTTGACCGATAAAGATCTTCGTAGAATATGTAGGAGCCAATATGAGCATCCAGGTTCCGCTATTGGTTATTGACCGGAGATGTGTCTCGGTCTTGTCTACATAGTTCTCAAACCCGTAGGGTCCGCGCGCTTAACGTTCGATGACGATTTGTATTATGAGTTATGTGATTTGATGTACCGAAGTTTGTTCGGAGTCCCGAATGAGATCACAGACATGACGAGGAGTCTCAAAATGGTCGAGACATAAATATTGATATATTGAACCATGTTATTCAGACACCGGAAGTGTTCTGGATAGTTTCAGGTAAAAACAGAGTGCCGGAGGGGTTACCGAAACCCCCCGGGGGAACTAATGGGACACCATGGACCTTATTGGAGAGAGAGGAGGGCCGCCAGGGCAGGCGGTGCCCCCTCCACCCCCCTCCCCTTAGCAGTCCGAATTGGACAAGGGAAGGGGAGGCGGCGCCCCCTTTCCTACTCCCTCTCCCTCTCCTTCCTTCCCCCTCTCTCCCTTTTGGTGGAATCCTACTAGGACTAGGAGTCCCAGTAGGACTCCCCTCTTGGGCGCGCCCTAGGGGCCGGCCAGCCCTCCCCTCCTCCCTCCTTTATATACGTGGGGAGGGGGCACCCTAGAACACATAAGTTGATATTTTAGCCGTGTGCGGTGCCCCCCTCCACAGTTACACACCTCGGTCATATCGTTGTAGTGCTTACGTGAAGCCCTGCGTCGGTAACTACATCATCACCGTCACTATGCCGTCGTGCTGACAAAACTCTCCCTCGGCCTCAACTGGATCAAGAGATCGAGGGACGTCATCGAGCTGAACGTGTGCTGATCGTGGAGGTGCCGTGCGTTCGGTACTTGGATTGGTTGGATCACGGAGACGTTCGACTACATCAACCGCGTTATTAAACGCTTCTGCTTTTGGTCTACGAGGGTACGTGGACAAACTATCCCCTCTCGTTGTTATGCATCTCCTAGATAGATCTTGCGTGATCGTAGGAATTTTTTTGAAATACTGCGTTCCCCAACAAATGGATGGATGTAATGTCATTGCACTCAACATATCTTTGATAAATTTATTCCATGGTTACACGCTTGGTTATTATTTGGGTTTTTGCAACAAGATATGTTGAATCCAATTATAATGAATGCAATTACATTTAACAAAGGAATTGAATTTAATACACAAAGGGACCATGCTACAACCTATCAAGGAAAAAAAGGACCACAATCATCGTTCACTCTAAAAGAACAACGTAAGACCGGCCGCAACAACTATCAGACCGAGCCGGGCCATAGTAGACTGATCAACGCCAGCCGCCGCAGCTGAGCTTAATACTGTCTCGGACTGGCAGCGACGTCGATTCCCTGTCCGTTGGCACCGCTGCACAGTCCGCACTTCTTTCGACTTGACATTGACCTCGACCTTCATGCCGGCGTCGTAGTGCCTGGAGACGCCGCAGATGAAATACCGGGTCCCGACGGTAGCAAGCGGAACAACATTGTTACCGGTCGGGAAAGTCTCTATGGGGTTGGAGCCGTTGCAGGAGTCATATCCCATCTTGCTCACCTCCACCACGTTGTGCACGACGGCGGAGTACTGGAACTTGAGCTCATCGCCCTTGATGAACCTGATTCTCGAAACCCACTGGGAGTAGTTGGTCTGAAGGTCCCACGACCCGTCCAACGCGCCCACGGTGTGGCTGGCGCTGAGGGCCGTCCCAAGCATGGTCACGGTCACGGTGATTAGAATAAGAGCTTTGGTCCCCATGGATTAAATATGGATCTACTAGCTAGCTGACTTAGTAGTAACTCGAAATATGTTGGGGGATGAAAGTTTGTGCTAGAGAGAAAATTGGTTATGATGTGTGATCAACTAATGATCACAAGCTCCAAGGAAGCTAAAGAGAGAAATGGCTGCATGATGATTGGTGTTGTGAGATCATTGATACTAGTGTGTCCGAAAGTACCTTTCTACACCTGAGCTCATATGCTCCTCCTATGAACAGTAAAATAAATAAAATAGAAAAACATTTCAAAAAAATCTGAAATTTTTTTGTGGCATACTTTAAGAAATGTTTGTTGTGCATGCAAAATTTTATCACGAAATCACATTGGTGGAGGTCATCGCAAAAAAAACAAAATCAAAACTCCAAAATGCGTTTGAAAGTAACATTTTCAGAGTATCGATTTTGTTTTTTTACCATGCCTTCCACCAATGTCATTTCATGACGAAATTTTGCATGCACAACAAACATTTCTTAAAGTATGCCACAAAAACAATTCAGAATTTTTTAAAATGTTTTTGTATTTTATTTATGTTACTGTTCATAGTAGGAGCATATGAGCTCAGGTGTAGAAACTCCACGTCCGTAGTGTGTCGACATATATAGGCAATGGATGTGTTAAAGGATCATCGGGTGTAAGCACGTTGACGAGGTGACATAGAGTAGGTCGTCAAAAATACATGAAAATGATATCGTACACGTTAGCTCCTGAAACTGATATTATTATATATGCTTGGCTTCATAGCTTTAATAGAACACTAACC